GTCATCGCTTGTAGGTTGGAGGCCATCGGTATTAGGATGGAGGCCATAGCTTCACGGAATCATGGCATTGCCTTCTCGTCATCTCGGCTCTGATGCTCTGCTTTGAGAGCTTGGCACCTCCGACAAATCTGTATGTGGGCATGGCTAGTCACGTTGTCAATACCACTTGGACACACCTTACATAGCTACTCACAGTGTCAGGTCTGGATTTATTGCAAGAACGCTTCTTCTTCCCGCACTTTTCTCGAGAGTTGCTCGTTCGCTGTCACCTCCTTTGAGAGCTGCACTGGTGCTCGCCGCAGACGCGGTGGTCTCCTCATATCCATTGGCGCTCGCCTCCCAAAAAGCGCAAGGCGTGGCTCTTACGTTTCTTAGGCCCAGAACAAGGGCTCGCTACTAGTAACAAGGGCATCGCTACAAGCAACAAGTGCCTCGCTACTAGTAACAAGGGCATCGCTACTAGTAGCTAGAAGCTGCTGGGAACAAGGGCATCGTTGAGAGACCGTTTTCTTTTTTAGCCCGGGGGGATAGGACGCTTAGAGGAAGAGGTGGCTAGTAGCTACTTAAGCTACTAGTAACGCAGGATAGCTCACGCATGCAGATGCTCTCACCTCTTCAGCAGCTTTGCCATCCCAACGCGAAAGCTGAGGTCCTAGTGCTTCGCTCTGCCTCAAATGGTGAAACGAGACAAGCCCAGTGGACAGCAGCTATCCCATAGCTGACCATAGATGCCGATGGTCAGTCTTCACATCGCGTAGCTCATGCATGCTACTAGGAGCAAGGACGCTACTAGAGGCTCCTGGCCCTACTAGGAGCAAGAAGCTACTAGTAACAAAGGGCATCGCTACGAACGGAGCAAGAACGCATTTTGAAAGAGATTTGCTGAGATTTCATGGTTTGCGTCTTTTCGCCACACGGGCCCTTTGGCCATGCTGCCACGGCCGCTTCAAGGCGGTGATGAGTCGACGGGCCCAAGCATCCCAGGGCAAAGGTGCATGGGTGGCATCAGTCAAAAGTGCATCAAACCTCAAACGGCGCAGATTTGACGTCTGAGATTTGACTCCACTGTAGAGGTTTAGAAAGGGAACGATTAACGCAAAAATTAAATTAGCCCAGCTGGAGACCCCAATAGCAAGATACAAACCGGGACAAAAAGAAAAATCTGGAAACAGCTGCTGTTTTCAACACATCGACCATCTCTTCCTTGGACACCATCATCACATAACCGGACACCATCACAAAATGACCAGGGCACCATCAAAACATGACCGAGACACCGTCACAACATGATTGGGACACCATCACAACATAACCGGGACACCATCACAAGGTGACCGGGACACCAGCATGACATGACGGGGACACCATCACAACATGACCGGGACACTATCACAACATGACCGGGACACCGTCACATGACCCGGACACCATCAAAACATAACCAGCACACCGCCAAAACATGACCAGGAAACCATCACAACAGGACCGGGACACCATCAAAACATGACCGGGACACCGTCACAACACGACCGGCACACCATCAAAACATGACCGGGACACCATCACAACATGACCGGGACACCATCAAAACATGACCGGGACACCATCAAAACAGGACCGGGACACCATCACAACATGACTGGGACACAATCAAAACATGATCGGGACACCATCACAACATGACCGCGCCACCATCACATGATCGGGACACCATCAAAACATGACCGGGACACCGTCACAACATGACTGGGACACAATCACAACATGACCGGGACACCATCACAAGATGACCAGGACACCATCACAACATGACCGGGACACCATCCGCCCACCAGCTCTGACGGTGACCCGACGGCGCCCGTCCGCCTATTAGTTAGCATGGCTATTGGGGAAGAAAGGCCAATTTTGGCCAAGGCACAAAGAAGGCCAAACTTCTAGAGCTCCAGGCAGCAACAGCCGTTCGGCCATTTGGTGCAAGGCCTGCCGTGGAGCCCCGTTCGTAGCGTCCGATCGCTCTTAGTAGCGTCCTTGTTACTACTAGTAAGGCACTTGTTACTAGAAGCGATGCACTTGTTCCTAGTAGCGTCCGATCGCTCCTAGTAGTAAGGCACTTGTTTCTAATAGCTTCTTGTTACTACTAGTAAGGCACCTGTTACTACTAGCGTGGCACTTGTTACTACTAGTAAGGCACTAGTATGTTCAACAAGAACGCCACCTTGAACCGTAACAGAATCGAAGGCAGTCACCGTTTAGTTGCCTGGCGCAAAGCACGGCTGTGCTCGAGCAGCTGGGAGGAAGCATTGGTGCCTTTGTCCGAAAAATAGAACGGAAGAACTTTGTCCTTAAGGACACCAGGACATGAAGCGTGATGGGGTGAATGAAGCAAGTCTAAGTTCCCAGTGTCAAGTGACTTCGGTTGCCAAAAAAAGGCCAAGTGTGATGCACACGGCCAGGATATTTCACAAGGGCTTTGACACGAAGATTGGTTGCGCATGTCAAAGCTCCCAAACCATTCGCACTCTGACTCTGGCCTGGTGTTAAGGCTTCGCGTAAGGAGGATTGTTTGGCGCAAGACTCCAAAGCCAACTCCTCGGATTAAAAACAGGTCTCAAAACAACAAAGCACACCTCGTGAGGAGGATCATCTGACAAGTTGCAAATGCATTTGACCGTAGGAGCACCTGCATAAAGCTCAGATGCCATGAACCTGGCGCCAGTTTTGAGGGAAATGTTTTTGGAAGAATTGCCAGACCCAAGACGAGTTGTTCATTTTCCAGAGCACAAAGCTTTTGCTTTTTTTACACGCTCCCCCCCCTTCCCTACTTAATTAAGTAAGCGCCTACTTAATTAAGTAAGGGAGAAGCTGGTAGCTGAAGCAAGGAACTGTTTCTTCTTTGGACCTTGCGTCCTTCCTTCCCTTCCCTTCCCTTCCCTTCCCTTTCCTTTCCCTTCCGTTCCGTTCCGTTCCGTTCCCTTCCTTCTCTCTTTCTTGCTTGTGTCGAATCACATTTGGCTTTTCAGTCCACAAACTGCAGTATCTCTTCTTGCAGGAAGGAATTGCATCTGCTCAGAAGCGAATTTTGTTGAGATGTATTCTACATAAACTACTAGGAGCAAGGATGCTACTAGGGGCTCCTGGCCTTACTACTCTGTGGCATTAGATGTCACTCAATACGAGGCACTCAAAATAGGGGATGAAAGTTTAATAGCATCAGTGTGTGACGAACACCACTCACACCCCAGGCCTGTTTTCATTTGAAGCACATAGACCTAGCTTTGTGCAATGCACAAAAGGTTGAAGTCAAGAGCTTTCCAGCAGCAAACTAGAAGCTATTAGGAACAAGAAGCTGCTAGGGGCTCCTGGCCTTACTACTAGGAGCAAGGACACTACTAGGGGCTCCTGGCATCGCTACTAGGAGCATTCTTACGACTAGTATCCTTGGATAAAGCCTTGACACAGCTCCAAAGCTGTGCGCGGTTTCAGTGTCTGGCTGCTCCAGCCTCTGAGTTGCTGCACTGCTCCAGCCAGTGGGATAGAAGCCATGCTGCCTGCTTTCCGTCAAGAAACAGACCGTAACGAGTGAAGGTTTCGTCTGAAACCAATGCTTAGAACTTTTGATGGTAAGGTATTAACAACATCCATTCCCTAACACAAGCCAAGCATCCGGTACTTCAGAAATGTGTTCCGAACCTAACTGAAAAATTGTACCGAACCTATACTTGTATGGATAATTGATGGTATTTGGCATTCCTGTCAGAAACTCCTCTCTGTCTTACTGAGTACCTGTGAATTGTTCCTTGTCGCTAGGACCCTGGCGCTATGCGGTGAGCTCAAGGCTCTGGCACGTTGCTCCAAGGTCGCCGTCAGCTCGTCGGCACCCAACTCGCCAAATGTCAAAGCCGAAAAAAAAAAAAAACATGTATTAATAGCAATAAAAATAAACAAATAAAACAAAAGTAGTTCCAAATCTCAAAGATGCAGAAGAAAGACCCATCATGTGGCTTGTCAATCCCGAGAAAGAACTGGGTCTTTGCTGAAGCAACATATTGTCCAAAGAAAAACCAAGGATGGGGTCGGCACAACTAGCGATTTCTTGAGTTTTCAAAAATCTTCGGGAAGCGTACACATTCATTGCTCCACTTGGAATACTGGCAGAAAACTTCCGGCCACAACACAAGAGAAACAAACTCTTTGGTCACCAGAGCGCGTTCTTTACAATGTGCCAGTTGCTACCTTTTTCTCTTTTGGTCTTGGATCTCAACGCCGTTCAACCACTTTTCTAAGGCCCAAAGAGGCCTACGAACCTACTAGGAGCAAAGAGCATCGCTACTAGTAGCAAGGACGCTACTAGGGGCTCCTGGCCGAACGCTACGAACGTAGCAAAGAGGCCTAGGAACCTTCCTTCTCTTTCACTATTTGCCATGTGCTTCCCACCTCCCGCACCAAAGAAGCCACACGGCCACTGAGCCAGGAGGCCATGGGATGCTTGAAAGAAAATGGACGAAGTTTTTCTATGCTATAAAACACATAAAAGGATGCCTTGCTAGGAGAGAAGTAAAGCAATATGGACGCACAACCATAGCAAAGCGTACTTATCAGACTTTTGCGCTGGCCCATGTTGGCCTTTTGCCCACTTGCGTGGAACAGTTTTGCTTTATTTCCTACGCGCTCCGTGACTGGCCGCCCTGGCAACGCTGAAATCCTTTTTGACCAAACATGGTGGAATCTTTCCTCGTGATGGACATGAATGGAGCTGGACGGTGACGGTGGTGTAATTGTTGCTTGAGAATCAAATCCAACAGACCTATCCAGGAAACATACTGCAGTCACCGCACACCCGGCGTTTTGGCGTTTCGATGTGTCAGCCAACTTCGAATCCAACCTGGTGCGGTCTTTACGCCTCTCCTGGAAGAAGTTCACCGTGGCTTCTGGCGCTGCTTCCAACAGCTGACTCACATCTACAATCCTGAGGTGAACAAATCTCTTCACTGCTCAAACGTTTCCACAAAGAAATGGAAAATACCCACAGGCGCTGGCAAAGCATCACCTCTTCTGGTTCTGTTGTGCCAGTTCCTTTGTGCCAAACGCCAAGTCACAAATTCCCATTCTGCAACTGCTCCTGTGTTGATCAGGTGATCATAGCATGTTTTGATTTCCAAGCGTTGCTCTGCTTGCGACCTAAATGAATGAACCTACCCGCTATCAAGTTGTTCAAAAATTTTTGCAATATACAATACGTTGAGACGTCGGCTCACCCAAAACAAACGATTGGGTCTTGTGCAATGGATGCGCAAGAAATACCAAGATCCGTACCAAAACCGCTCTCATGAAGCCATTTGCCATCGAAAGCTCACAGCCACAGCTGGCACGAAATCATGCAAATCCCGAATGATTCACATGCGTTTGATTCGGGTGGCCGGTGGTGTGTATGTGTGTCTATGTCCTGGCAAGCTGCTTCAAGTACAAAATGGCTGCTTTGAAGTCGCACTCGTGTGAAACGTTTTCCCCAGGGTTCATTCAAGGAAAAAACATAAACCGCGGTTGCTGGATCAAGTCACTTCCAAAATGACACCCATGTAAACAAGAAAAGTCACCAAAAATCATGCAACATGTTGGGTCAACGGGGGGTGTTAGCCCCGCCCGTAACATGTGGTCTGGTCTTTTCGGGTTTGGGGGGGGGGGGGGGGGGGGGGGGGGTGGGGTCAGTTTCATCCTGGTTACGACTCGCGTACATCGTCTACGTACTTCATTGGTCCACCCGGTTCCTTGTAGGTTCGCTCGGTCACGATTCGTTCGCTGGACGACCCGCTTGTCTCGGCTTACAGGACATGACGGGTTCCACTTTGGAGGTTTGTTTGTGTTTGTCGTTGGTTCTGTTGTTGCGTTTGGTCGGTTTGAGGTGCCCTTCCCCCAATGAGCATTTGAAGGTTTTTTTTTTACGACCGACCCCTTTCTTTTGGACGCTCACATAGACGTTTGTACCCGTGCCTCAGATCCGACTATCTCTTTTGTTCAGGAGGTTGCATTGTTAAACTGTCGTTCTCCGTTACGGTTTGACCGTCTCGTCGCTTTTCGTTCGGTTTTGTTTGATGTTTGGACTTCTCACTTTCATCGACACCATATGTCTTTTACACCTGTCATGTGGAGTGCATTATGGGTTCTTTCCAGGCGTTTGTTGCAAATTAGAGATGTTCAACTAAACAGACATGTCAATGTCCAGCATTCTAGTACTAGACAGCCTTCCATGGACACGCCATGTGTGACTCCCGCGATGGACACGTGGGATCCGGATCCTCGCGAGCGTACGCCCCGGCGGACGACACAGACGACCACGCCCGTGCTGGACTCACCCGAACTCGCGTCCAAGCGACGTGAGTTGCAACCTTTGATAGATCTGACGGAGTCTCCGCCACGATCTATGTCGGCTGCGCACACGCCCATGAAAGAGGAAGCTTTCTCCGAATTATTCGTTACGTTTTGGCAGACATGTGAACATATAAGAATTTGTTTTTTTTCGGAAACCTCGTTCTTGTAAAAACCACATGAGGAAGATGATTCGGAGTCTTTGTCACCGCCGAATGAATGGGACAGCCCGCCGCACAGACAGGCCAAGATTCAGTATTGGACCAAGCATAGCACACCACCCTGGCAGAGCAACCGCAGAGAGTCAATAGCGGGGCCGCTGGCTCTTCTCTCGAGTCTTCTTGGTATTATGCTTTTGTTGTTTGTCTCCGTGGCAATTTTTTGTTTTGTCGCTTGTCGTGACCTTTTGGAGATTCGAACATATCCGGACCGAGTGACCATGGCCTTTTTGAATCTCAGGACACCAATGCCGCTTGCACTGGGGATGCACAAGGGTCTGCTGAAGACAGACCAGGCCGCGTACCAAGTGGGGACGCTGTCCACTTTGTGAGTACTCCTTGAGACCTCATTTGTACCAGAGTGGACCATACCGTGGATCCTTTCGACTTTTGTGTTCCCAGATTTGGATACTTGAGGATGGCCGCAGACAGTGTTGGAACTCCATACCGGTTCCTGCACTCATGTGGTCTAAATTACCTCGTTTTCTTCGACAGAGGTACCATGAGCTACCAGCCTCACTGCTGCGCAATGCGCAAGGACCTTGAAGTGGAGACTGCACGAACAGACATCGCTGCAAAAATGTTGAACGGGTGCTCAATCCGGAACGCGATTTCACTTGTTGTTGAACATTCCTGCGGAAAGCATATGCATATCTATATATATAGAAATACATGCTCTCTGTCTAAAATATATATATATATAGAGTGGTTTCCTATATGTATATGTATATTTCTCTATCTCCTCTCTCTGAGTATGTATATATTTCCTCTCTCCTGACAACAGACGTCCTTGACTCAGTTTTTTGGTGGGACATTGAAAATCTGTTCGATCGCCAGACTGTGCCAGAGAGACGAATGTATTTTGGCCTTGGTTCGAGCTCCGTTTAATGTAGTTTCCTTGGCTCTACATTTCTGAGCCATGAAAGGCAACTTGTCTGACGACAGAGAAAGATATGAATCTGAGAGGCCCAAGCCTACTTCCAGAACTGTGGCCACGGCCAAAGGCACAAACCGAAAGCACTGGAAGTTAGGCATCAGATATGCCACTCGGAAATTCCAATCAAGAGGGAAACTGCGCGCTTTAAGACAAGTCGATTTTCCGACTGTTCTGTCTTGGCCGGAGAAGAAATGTTTTTTCATTCTAAAGACGGCTGGTGTGTTCGGAGATCGGCGCAACAGACGTTGTTGGGTGTGCAAAGCTGCAATGGTTCCAGAGTCGCAGACACAAGCTTACAGATGTGTCAACCGACAATGTTCGGGCCAGAGACCACGTCTTTACTCCTGGCAATTCTCCTTCACTCCTTTTGGAGGACGTCTCAGAGGAGGTCATCCCAAGGACTGCAAAGCCTTTGTCTGTGCTGCGTACTTGTGTTCCTTGAGGTGCCCTCAAGATTCATCATGGCATGTGCTGGGTCGCTCACAAGACTACACTGATTTGACTTTTCGACAGCTACGTGTACGTTGAGGGCCTCGCAGCGTTGTGGTTCAGCCAACATCCTGGGTTGGACGCAATGCTCGAGGCTGTCAGGATACATAGGGAAGCTGTGCAAAACACTTGTCCGCCAAGCTGCCATGTATACTGAGCTGAAATGGCTCCACTGGGACCAAGACTAATGCCTAGCAGGTGGAAAATCACTTTCGCGCCATGGACAAGGAGCAGGCGGGTCGGTGAATACGTCCGTCACAATGCATTCAACTTATCGTCTTGCAACTCATGAGTTGCAAGACGATAAGTTGAGTGTCCGGAAAGCCACTTTACCCTGTAAAAAACAAGGTTTTTTGACCCTCGGTGCGTTGCGTCCGGGGCTAACCCCCCCCGTTTACCCAACATGTTGGTTGGGGGTGACTCGCCAGCACATCTGTCTAGCTTTAGCACTAAAGGTTGCTATCCCGGCAAGAGACCCCAGCGTGTTGAGGTTTAGAGATATAAGGTCTACAGGTGTAGATGCAAAAGGTATTGGGTTCAACGAAATCTCGGGATGTAGAAGTCTAGAGATCCTCAGGTTTAAAGTTTAAAGGCTTAGAAAATTGAGTGAACAAACCAGGCGGGACGTAGGGGAACGCCCAGCTAACTACCGGAAGGTGGTAAAAGAAGTAGGCTATGTCCCTGGCCGCTCTATCTACGTTAATGGGAGCACGGGGCGAGTCGGACGGACGAGACCCCGTGGTTGGAAAGTGCAAGCGAACGAGAGCACGACGGCGGTCGAACGAAAGCACGGAGACGAAAGGTGCAGAAGCGAAAGCAACGAAGGGGAATGTCAACCACAGGTTGGCAGACCCGGCACCCTGAAGAAAAGCAAGCGGGCGCTCACTTTTCTTGAGCCAGGTGTGCGACGGTTGGCACATGTGTTTTACATGTGACTTGTGAACCGTAGCTAAATAGGTAGACATGTACAAGTAGTGAATAGCAGTTACATACTAGGGGTCCTCCAAAAATGACTCCCCCCTCCCCGATGTGGGGCAGCTACACTTTGTACATGCACGAATTACCGCGCCAGACGGCAGCGGTTACAAGGACCTACGAAGGCTTCGAACTGCTTGGAAGGCTCCTATCTGTCTTTGACGGTGTTATGTCTTTAAGATCAGTACGAAGGCCGAGCAAGCATAATGCTTTGAAAAAAGCTTTGTGGTGGCAATGCCTTAGTGAAAATGTCGGCAGCTTGCTCATTGGTGTCAATGTATCTGATCTCGACAGATGGGTCGTCGATGCATTCTCTTAACGAACTGAGGTTTATCTTTTGTGTTCGGCTGATGCGTCGTAGCTTGGGGGAAAAGCCCTTCTTTACTACCAGAATCGTGGCCTGGTTATCTTCTTGTATTACGAGGTTAACAGCCCGTCCAAGAAGTTTATCCCATAGCTGTAATGAAGGGAGGCCTTCTTGATACAACGAATAGGCTAAACTTACCACTTCCGATTCTGTAGTGGACCTTGACGT